TCTCCTCTGCCATTTTCTTCAGTTCGCCTTTTAATATATATTTTTTTCAAATAGCATTTGTGAATACAAAGCATGTGTAAACTTTCATATAGATAAATCTACCAAGGAGTTGCGATTTGAATGGAAAATCCACAGCTCTCACTGCTTTATGGCTTTAAGTTAATACGGCACTTGCAGAAATTATAAACCGTCATTCTTGACTCTATTTGAGAGAGCCAGTTTGATCTAGTGGTTAAGGCATCAGGCTAGAAAGCAGGAGATTCTGAGTTCTAATCCTGCCTTAGCCATGAAAGCCAGCTGGGTGGCTCTCAAACACTCTGTCAGCCTTGCTCACCTCACAGAGTTGTTGTGGAGAAAAGAGGAGGAAAATGTGTTGGATATATTCGCTACTTTGAGTTATTTGTAAATAAAATAAAGGCAGGATATTAAATAAATACACAAACAAACAAGCAGATAAATGCCTGAAATATCATTGACTGAGCCCCAAGGGTCATGGTGAATAGAATGAAAGTGGCTATTCTCTCTCAACTCCCTGTAAAAATATATATATATATAGCTCAGAACTGTGGAGACCTTGGTGCTCTCTGAGCTTGGTTGTTTGCTTTCAGACATTTCATTACCCAAATAGATAACATCATCCATGTGAGTGAGTATGGGGGTCTGCTCCTTCTTTATACAGTACGCAGAAACTTGCCCTACCAGTTCTGAGGGGTGGAGAGGTTGCAATCGAGCAGGAAAAATACCCTAATCAAGGAACTACCAGAACTGGCAGGGCAAGCTACTGTAAATAAACAGAGAGACCCAGTGGTGGGATTCAGCCAGTTCGCACCAATTCGGCAGAACCGGTAGCTAATTTTTTGTTGCCCAGGCCCAGAATGGACTTCCGGAAGTGGCATCTACAGAGAACCGGTTGTTCACATATTTGAATCCCACCACTGGATAGACCCCACACTCACACTAACAAAGTTACTTGGATAACGAAACATCTGCAAAGCAAGCAATCACGTTCAGAAGACCACCAAGTTCTCTCACCTCCTTTTATAGATCTAATAATATACAGCTGATCTATAAATAATTCCCTTTATTTCCTCAACTAGGTAATGTGAATGAACTGAATGAAATTATCCACCATCATGTTCCAGAGGCCCAGTTAATTGAAAGAATTGGTCAGGGACTTGTCTATCTTCTACCAAATAAGAATTTTAAAGAACGAGCCTATTCCAGTCTTTTCAGAGAATTAGAGGAAACCCTGGCTGACGTGGGGCTCAGCAGTTTTGGGATCTCAGATACACCGCTTGAAGAGGTTGGTAATCTTCAGATACTCAAGCAGTTTTACCTTGGTCCAGTCCTTGCTTTCCTATTTTGGATGAATGCCAGTTTTTTTGTGTTTTTGGAGAGGTAGAAATCATTTCTATAGGGCAGTTATTTTTTCTGCATTGTAGTAACAAATATTGCTATAGTGATAATAATTATTAAATTAGAACTATTTGGTGGGAAGATAGGAGTTGTAATTTAACACATCTGAAGACACCAAACTAAAGCTATCAGGTTAAGGGGATAAAGGGGATAAAGATGGGATAGTTGGTATAATCATATGCTAACTTTATACTTTATACTATAGTTAGTATATTTCTTCTTATTACCCTGATTTTTTAGATTATTTTGTACTCTTTGGGAGTTTTTTAAACATTGATTAAAAATAAAACGAGAAGAGCAAGATTTTTTCACTTATGTTGCATTGGGGGGGGGGATATGCCTAAAGATGCCAGCGCTTACTTTATTTCCACACAGCATCTTCTCATGCACCTGTCTTTCAGGTTTTCTTGAAGGTTACAGCTGAGGCTGACCTTGGAATACCCAATACAGGTATATATTCCATGATCACATCTCCGAAAGCCAAAGTTGTTGTGAAAAGTCTCCCATATTTTAATACTACAAATTTAGCTGCTAATTCCGGTATACCTCTTACTACCTATAACATTCAGTACAATAGTGGTCACTCAAATCATGTGCTTCCTGTCTCCACCTCACCCTATCCACTGTCTCTTCCATAATTTAGGAAACATTCCTATATCAAAAAAAGAGGATATGTTTCTGAAAATACCCAGTATATATATATTCCTTGACTTATGACAACTGGGATCTTTTTTGCCACAGTTGTTATACGAATCATTGCAGTTGTTAAGGTGTACCACGTGGTCATTAAATGAATCTAGCTTTCCCCATTAACTTTGCCAACTGAGAAGGTCGCAAATGTGATCACATGACCCTGGGATGCTGCAACTATCGTTAATGCATGCTGGTTGCCAAATGCCCAAATTTTGACTGTGGGGAATGCTGCGATGGTTGTAAGTGTGAGGACCAGGTGTTAGTCACTTTTTTTCAGTGTGGTTGTAACCTTAGTCACTAAATAAATGGTTTAGAGTAAACTGTAAAGACAGTTCACAGACTGATGTTCAGACTTTAGAAATCTATTGTTATAATGTCTAAACTTCAGTCTTGAAGGAATAAATGGATCTCTGACTTGTGGGACTAAAATATTTTTCATTGTGCCCTAAACAAAATCGGCATGGGCATTCTGATTTGTAAAATCCAGGAGCTGCACAGGAGAATGCTTTTGCTGGGGCCAAAGAAGGAATCTCCCAAAGAGCTTCAACAAACAGTTGTGCTCCTCTGGATGGAGATAAGGATGATGGAAAAGGATCTTGGCAAAATAAAGGTGGCCGGCTTATACTTCAGCAGATTAAAGCTCTTCTCATCAAACGTTTCCATCATACCACCCGTAGTATCAAAGACTTCTTGGCTCAGGTACATGCTTACTAATTTTTTTCCCAAATGACATATATCTAATGAAGAAGTCTATTATAGTTCTAGTGTCCAGAGTCTACATCAGGGGTGTCAAACTGGCGGCCCGCCGGCCGGTTTCATCATACCGAATCCGTGCCCACCCCATTGCCAGCAATGCAAAAAGAGTCGCGATATGTCGCGACACGTCACGTGATGTGGCGAGTTTGACACCCGTGGTCTACTTTATAGAATCAACTATCCCTGTTCAGTATTTTAAGTATTCAGTGATTAAGATGTTGGGCTGGGATCAAAAAGATCCAGATTCAGGTCTCCCTCAAACATGGAGCTCACAAGGATCTTTTGGACCCTTTGTACTCTCTCTGAAACTAATCTATTTTGCAAGGTTATTGTTGTGAAAATAAAATGAAACAAAATCCTCATATACCCTGCCTAGAAGAAAAGCTAGACATAAATATAACAAATGAATAAAAATGTCCTAGAGTGAGAATTTATACCACACATATGTAGCTTAGAACATTCTTTTGGCTAGGTATTTATATCCTGGAGAGTTTGGCAATAGTTTGCATGTATTCTTCATACAGTGGTTCCAGATCCAGGAAAGTCTGTCCGAAAGCTTAGAAAGCCACTGGTCAGCAATACTAAACTAGATTAATCAATGCAGCTTCCTAGGCTTTTTCAGTCTTATCTTATATAACCGAGAAGCCATTAGTAAGAACGTCTCATTTATGTGTTCTTCCATAACTATGGGAGGATTTAAAAAAAAACCAGAAATGTAGAAATTGAGATTTACTGAGTAACCACATGTTTGATGCTTGGGGTGAATTACAATCAGGATTAGATAGATTTCCAGCACAAAAGTATCCACTCTGAATCTTTTGTGTCTTATATCTGACGTAGACATTAATGGTTAGAATACAGTATTGCAGTGGTTAGAATGCAGTATTGCAGGCTAATTCTGCCGACTGCCACCAGTTCGATTCTCACCGGCTCAAGGTTGACTCAGCCTTCAGTCCTTCCGAGGTCTGTAAAATGAGGAGCCAGATTGTTTGGGGGCAATATGCTGACTCTGTAAACCACTTAGAGAAGAGTGTAAAGCACTGTGAAGCGGTACAGTATATAAATCTAAGTGTTATTGCTATTGCTATTAATAGAATACTGTCTGAAAGCACGTATCTGACATATTCCATATTGCTGGCAGATTGTTCTACCTGCTAGCTTTGTGTTGCTGGCTCTGATACTTACAGTCATCATCCCTCCATTTGGTGAATATCCCAGTGTAACACTCCACCCTTGGATCTATGGACATCAGTTTACTTTCTTCAGGTCAGAGGATTCCTTAGTATGTTTATTTTTGAAGTAACCTTGTCTCTGATGTTTCCTACATTCTGGCTAGCACAGATGCTAGTTAATCCAGTCCTTTCTGTAAGATATTCTTTTTCAGATTTCTGTTTTAAACCAGTCTATACCTATTGCTGACTTTACTTTGCTCTTGAATATATTTCTCTAATTTCTGTATCTCACAGCTAAACTGTGAGATACAGAAATTATGTAGATAAGGTATGGCTAAATAAATGGCAATAATTATTTATGGCCATACTATATTCATAAACATAAACATATTATACTTTTATTGATTATTGCTCTTCCTTTTTGTTTCTCTGTAAATATTTTTATTTTAATGCACTGTAAGCTGCTGAGAGCCAGTTCTGATTATTGCCATACATTAACATAACAGTTTAACTTTAACCTAATACAACATAACACAGTTCTGTAAATGGAGAAGATAATATATATTATTATTCAAGTTGAGCTTAATTCCTCGTGATTTCATGGGCAAGTTCATGTAATTTTCTGAGCAACTCTTCTTTGCTCTTGTCTTTTTTCTACATTATTTTTTACTTTAACAGTAGTCTTACATACTTACATCTGTGGGGTTTTCTGGTGTATCCCTATCCATATTCTAACCTGATCTGCCCGATTGACATTCAAGATCAGATAAGATTAGCTAGACTGCATCATTCAGTTGAAGATCACATATATGAGCAACATTTCCCTATTTGCATCATAGCCAAATATCAACTATGATTCTCGTCATCTCAGTTTTCAGAGGCTAGATAGGCTGAGTTTCAAGAGGTTGCCCCCACTCCATCCTCAGACTTTCACTTCCCAGGATTTTTTTAAAAAAATCTCTTAATATATGGAGAAAGGAGCTGTCTTTTTTTTTAATGTACAAAGAAACACTAAGTAATTAGAGTTTTGATGGATTACAATCTATCCCTGACCCATGAATTATATGAATATTTAGTTTTCCAGAAAGAAGGCTGACTCATAACTAGATAATTTTTTTTCATTTTGTTGAGATATGATGTTGCATTGACCTAAGTCTAGTACCAGGAACACGGTGGACGGATTTGTTTACAGTGCTGATGGGGTGCAACATGGGGCCAGATAATTCTGGAGAAGGGCTTCCATTTAGTTACTAAAAGTCCATGTGGACTTGACAGCATATAAAAAACAATAGCATTAGAATGAATTGGGGGGGGGAATGTTGGATGAGCAGGCTGTGTGAATTGCAAATGTTCAGTCACAAGTACCCTACTATCTTACCTTTTATATAAAACTATTTCCCATTTGTTAACCAGGACTATGCATGCATGTCTTTGCTTATCATGTCTTTGAGAAATTAAAACTTTGTAGCAAACAACAATGTAAATTTTTTAAAAAAATTGTAATCTTTATGAAACGTACAGGACTCTTCTAAAATTGGGTAGTTAATTAGTAATATCTGCAGCGATTCTGGTGGTTTTCATTTGCAGTTGTATTCTTCTGTAGTTAATCTCTTTTTATAACCTAAATCTCACCCAATCTCATTAGCAATGAACGGCCTGGCAGTGAACAAATGGTTTCTCTTAGTGATGCCTTTTTAAAGAAACCAGGATTTGGAAATCGTTGCTTGAAGAAAGAACCCCTTCAGTAAGTTCTCGTTCTCGTTCTC